TACAGCACATTTTAAGTATTTCACTCTCACAGGCAGTACCATGTGCCGCTAACGGAGCACACTTCCTCCACCGGCTCTCACAGGCTTGTGCAGACAGTACCATATATCTGCTAACGTAGCACACTCCCTCCACCAGCTCTCACAAGCTTGTACACACAGTGTCATGTATCTGCTAACGGAGCACACTCCCTCCACCAGCTCTCACAAGCTTGTGCAGACAGTACCATGTGCCGCTAACAGAGCACACTTCCTCCACTAGCTCTTAAAAGCGTTTGCAGACAGTACCATGTGCCGAACGGAGCACACTCCCTCCACCAGCTCTCACAAGCTTGTGCAGACAGTACCATGTGCCGAACGGAGCAAACTCCCTCTACCAGCTCTCATAAGCTTGTGCACACAGTACCATGTGCCGCTAACGGAGCACACTCCCTCCACCAGCTCTCACACCATGTGCCGCTATCGGAGCACACTCCCTCCACCAACTCTCACAAGCTTGTGCACACAGTACAATATGCCGCTAACGGAGCACACTCCCTAGACCAACTCTCACAAGCTTGTGCACACAGTACCATGTGCCGCTAACGGAGCACACTCCCTTCACCAGCTCTCACAAGCTTGTGCACACAGTACCATGTGCCGCTAACGGAGCACACTCCCTTCACCAGCTCTCACAAGCTTGTGCACACAGTACCATGTGCCGCTAACGGAGCACACTCCCTTCACCAGCTCTCACAAGCTTGTACAGACAGTACCATGTGCCGCTAACGGAGCACACTCCCTTCACCAGCTCTCACAAGCTTGTACAGACAGTACCATGTATACGCTAACGGAGCACACTCCCTCCACCAGCTCTCAAAGCTTGTACAGACAGTACCATGTATACGCTAACGGAGCACACTCCTTCCACCAGCTCGCTCAATCAAAGTCGTCCAATATTGTGCTGTCGGGTGCAACCCCCCGAACTTGGTAACAGCTGTCAAGATTGATGGAATGAGAGCAAACAGAAGGCAAACAAATAAACACCTAAATGGCCTGGCCAAATGGATTGGGTGAGAGACACACGCATTGACCCCATCTGTAATTCTGGTGATCGTGTGAGATGGCGGGGCTTGGCAGTCTACGCTTACCGGTATGGCACCTGATGATGATGATGATGATTGTGATGATGAGGATTATGATGATGATGAGTGGGCCGTTGCTTCTGAAGGGAATCAAACCTGTAAGAGTACAGACAGGCTGGTTACACTCAGGATTATCGGACAAGCAGTACGTGTCAGTGGAACAGATTAAATAGACTAGAGATGGATATTGTAGGGGCATAAGACTTGTAACTAAAGTGATTAGTAGTAAACTACAAACAGTAATTAACGGATACGTGTCCAGAACTGAGGGTGATATATGGTATGGTGGAATCACTTATGTAGAGCTTTTGGAGAGAACTAGTAATGAGTGGGTTGAAGGGGGAAACAAACTACGCTGGCGTTGAATATGAGACATGTTGAGAAAACCTGAGACCAGTATAACTAGAATGGCTTTATCCTGGAATAGACAGGGGCATATAAACACAGACACACACACAGACACACACACAGACACACACACACACACAGACACACACACACAGAAACACACCATACACACAGACACACAACACACACACAGACACACACAGACATACACACAGACACACACACACACAGACACACACACAGACACACACACAGACACACACACAGACACACACACACAGACACACACACACAGACACACACAGACACAGACACACACACAGACACACACAAACAGACAGACCCACACACACACAGTAACACACACACAGAGGACACACACACAGACGGACACACACACACACACACACACACACACACACACACACAGACACACACACACAGACACACACACACAGACAAACACACAGACACACACAGAGACACACACACAGAGACACACACACAGACACACACACAGACACACACACAGACACACACACACAGACACACACACACACAGACAGACACACACACAGACACACACACACACACAGACAGACACACACACACAGACACACACACAGACACACACACACACAGACACACACACAGACACACACACAGACACACACACACACACAGACACACACACACAGACACACACACACAGACACACACACACAGACACACACACACAGACACACACACACAGACACACACACAGACACACACACAGACACACACACACACACACACACACACACTCGTTCTTACGGATTCATACACTCTCATTTTTACCCACACATGTACACTCATACATATACATACATAAACAAACCCATATATTTATAATAAACATACATGCTTATGCAAACATACAGTCATACATAAACAGTCATACATAAACAGTCATGCACACTCAAACATACACACATACGTATACTTCCTTGTACATGTACATACATACCATCTATACTCATACGTACCAACACTCATACATGCACACTCATACATAGCACATATACTCGTACGCACCAACACTCATCTATGCACACGCATACATACCACATATACTCGTACGTACTAAGACTCATACATGCACACGCATACATAGCACATATACTCGTACGTACCAACACTCATATATGCACACGCATACATTTACTTATATGCACTCTCACTCATACCTACACATAAATCCACCCACGCTTTCTTGCATATACATACATGCATTAACACCCATGCATACCCATACATAGACCTACTCTCATTCATATACACATGCACAAACACCTATAAAAACACATATCCGATCGTATATACAAATATACACAATCGAACATAATACACATGCATGCACTCACACTCCAACATACACATTTATACTCACACAAACACACCTGTTCATACATCCAGCACGTAGAAGGAAATCATGTTTAACCACATTGGGAGGATTTGGAGAGAGGGAGAGAATATAAAACAAGGCTCCGGAAACAGATGAATGTATCCATTTCTACATTACCCCAAAGCACAAAAATAAAATCGACAGGCTCAAATCAGAACTCAATTAAGACTTCGTTTGCATTCGCAGTTAAAAGGGTAAAGGGGCCGTTGGTATGGTTTGTTATGTTTTACAGCTAAGCTGTGATATTTGCGCCTGTTAACCAAACACAGTCGGTTTTAGCGAACCCTTAATTTGTCTTTTTTAATTGCGACCTGCTTGTTAAAGGGCGTTGGGTCTCTCTCTCTCTCTCTCTCTCTCTCTATATATATATATATCTATATATATATATATATATATATATATATATATATATATACACACACACACCCCCCCCTCTCCTACTCTCTCCCACTCCTTCAAGAATGGGGCTACAGAAGCTACAAGGGTATATTCTACGTGATTATAATGTGTGTGTGTTTTTTTTTTTCAACCAGAATGATTCAAAACGTTTCGTTAAACGATTGCAGGCAAGAAGAGATGACATCAGTTTACGTGCGTGCCCAGGTCACACGGTACTGCAGGGCTATCACGAGAATGACTGAGTACATGTTGACTGATCCTGTGGTTAGCGGAGCATTGAACGCAAAGACCACTGTACTTAACAACTCTGGTTTTGTTGTAACGCTGCTTGCAAGTTATGCATGTCCTATTATCCCAATACTTTTTGTTTTCTGCCTTCCAGCTCCCAGTGGACTTTAGCTAACTCACACCGAGCCATTTACAAACTTGTGTGTGGTCAAATCTCAAGCAGGTCTTGGGTCAGGCATGACTGAGCTACGGTGCTACCGGTTCTCTGCGAGCAACGTATATTGGGCGGCTTGTATACCAAACCTGACATCCCATATTGTGCCAGCGGCTTAGGACAGAGCTTTGAGGGGGATACTAGCCTTAACTTAAAAAGAGGAAATGCAACCTAATATTTAATGTTGAGTCAGGCCAGACCAAGTCTTTAGCATTGGTTAGCAGATGGTGTCAGTAGGAAAATACGAAATGATTGTATCCTGTTGTTTCTTTATATCTGATTCCTTTTCCCCTCCTCCTGACGCTGCTTCTATCCTGTGGTCTCCTGATATATGATTGTCTCCTGGCGCTGCTTCTATCCTGTTGTCTCCTGATATATGATTGTCTCCTGACGCTGCTTCTATCCTGTTGTATCCTGATATATGATTGTCTCCTGACCCTCCTTCTTTCCTGTTGTCTCCTGATATATGATTGTCTCCTGACCCTCCTTCTTTCCTGTTGTCTCCTGATATATGATTGTCTCCTGACCCTCCTTCTTTCCTGTTGTCTCCTGATATATGATTGTCTCCTGACGCTGCTTCTATCCCGTTGTCTCCTAATATATGATTCTCTCCTGACGCTGCTTCTATCCTGTTGTCTCCTGAAATATGATTGTCTCCTGACGCTGCTTCTATCTTGTTGTCTCCTGATATATGATTGTCTCCTGGCGCTGCTTCTATCCTGTTGTCTCCTGATATATGATTGTCTCCTGACGCTGCTTCTATCCTGTTGTCTCCTGATATATGATTTTTTCATGACGCTGCTTCTATCTTGTTGTCTCCTGATATATGATTGTCTCCTGATGCTGCTTTTTTCTTGTTGTCTCCTGACACATGATTTATTCTCTTTGTCCAGTGACATTAATTCTATCCTGCTGTTATATTAATACTAATTCCATCCCTCTGTCGCTTCATATCTCCGTCTCCTCCATGAACCCACAAACAGCATCCCTCCCATTGCCTCCTTTCCAGTTTTGTGCATCCATAAATACGTAAAACGAAGGAGAAGTACTTTAACAAACACCACGACCCTCACGTTAGCAAATGGTTTGTGCTACTGAGTGGTCTCCACTTGTTTTGTTTGTTGTTCTGGCAGATCGAAGAGCTCGACTGATCAATCGTGTAAACAGTTTTAAGTTTCGGGGAAAACACGGGTCTTGCTCGAGGATAAACACGGTTCAGTTATATTTCAATTTATTCCAGAAAATGACGGGACTTGGAGAACTGGGGATCACCAAAGCGGCGCCAGATTTCGAGGCCCCAGCGGTGCACAATGGAGAGTTTAAGACCATCAGGTTATCAGACTACATTGGCAAATATGTGGTGCTCTTCTTTTACCCTCTTGACTTGTAAGTTAATTTGTGCTGTTTTATTGTATTGTCTGCTTTTTACATTGTTTTATAACCAGAATATGGTTCACGCTCATGCACGTAGTCAGGGAATGTGGCTTCGGCGTTGCGAACGCGCTTCATAATTTCGTGGTACCCGGTTGGATTCCAGCTGCGGGCGATCTGGCAGCAGACTGCCTTGGTTAATTTCGACAGGGCATGTTGAGAGCCAACCTTCCATGTGGCAGCGGCAAACTACTGTACGTAAAATGGCCTAATGACAGCAAAACAGCCAAGAAATGCTGAGAGGTTGGTTCTTCCGCATCTTGAAAATGATACGCAACTACTTCGCGTGCACATAGAACTCCAGTGTTACCGTGTTCAGTGAGTGAAGCAAACAACAGTAACATCATTGCTTATCATATGTGTCGTAACAAAGAAGAGTTCACTTGATAGAGGTTCTGTAATTACCACCCCCAAAATATATATATATATATATATATATATATATATATATATATATATATAATATATATAATATATATATATCAGGGGGAAAGCCCTTTACCTGCAGAACGTAACCAATCCAGGAAATCTTAAAAAAAACTTTGTTATGAGTTGGTGAGAGTCAGTCCTGGATTTAGGTAGAAGTTTCCAGTTTCATTAGTGCGATTTTTGATATATCATCTCAGGTTTTTATTTATTATAATTTGTTCATAAAATTAAATTAAATAATCAGTCTGATATTCGTCAACTTCCACCTTTTATTAGCTCACATGTATTTTAAAGTTGTATAAGATGAACTGGTATCATTGAAAACCAAGGGGCCTCGGGGCTTTGTACAGGCCTCAGAAAGCCTAAATCCGGCCCGGTGAGAGGGTTTGCTGTTTTGAGAGTGAAAATAGAATAGGGCGCAGGTTGAACAGAAGAAGGTTTGCACATTTTGACTGACAACCAAGTGCAATCAAACATCGTCATTATCCTGTTGTGCTTTCCTGCGTCCCATAGAGCTCGTAATTTAATCTTTCTTCTGTTTTGTCTTTGCAATCCTTTCAGAATCATGGTTGGGATCCAGTACAAACACATTTGACCTCTCTCAGCCTCTGAAGCTGGCTATGCTTCTGTTTGTAGGAAAAAAGAATCAACATGTTTTGTAGTGCAAGAGCCGTCACAAATCAACCACATACAGAGGAAAGCGGGTCTCCTCGTAGTGCTGCCCAAATAAAACAGTTGTGATCTGTTGCATGGTGTCTTTGGGATTTCTTCATCACTTAATGGCAACTAAAAACAGGCTGTTTAAGAACTGGGTGTCAGACATTCAGGTTACTGTTTGAAAGGGGGAATACCCAGAGACAACGAACGAACTAACGTACAAACGAACCAACTTTTAGGCACACAGGCCCTTCCAAACTCTCATCTTGCATGCATGTATCTATGAAGCATGTTGTGTTCATATAACAATATACATAATTTCAATATCAGTTATCAAAAATAAAGAGAGAGAGAGACAGAGAGAGAGAGAGACAGAGAGAGAGAGAGACAGAGAGAGAGAGAGAGAGAGAGATCCAATGAACGCATGTTTCTTGATACAGAATACACTAATCTGTTTGATCTCCACAGCACGTTTGTTTGCCCGACTGAAATCATCGCATTCAGTGAGAAAGCTGACGATTTTCGCGCCATTGACTGTGAGGTGTTGGGCTGTTCCACAGACAGTGTCTACTCCCATCTGGCATGGTCGGAAAATATTTTACTCTGTTGGTTTTTGTTTTTTGGTTTCTAGTTTTCATACGTTTTTAGTTACGGATATAACACATTTCCCTTAATTCTTTCAGTCTCAAGCTGATTTTATTTCACACTCATTTTACCCTTAAAAAAATTAAGTAAAGGACTCTTTTCCACGCCTTTAGGCATATAGGGCTAGACCTATATTTTATAGACCTACCGGCATAAGATAGGTGATTAGGTCAGCATTACGCCGGTCGCCTTTACTTCCCGGGACTCAAGGCTGGGTCGACCTGGGAGCCAGGGTCATTTTTTTTAAGTCTGGCTTTGCCAGGGAGCGAATCCACGACGAATCTGACACCCGATCAAGTGTTGTTAAGATGTGATTTGTCCACTATACTAGTTCTATATATTGGTAACATGACATCAGTCTACCCCTACATGTTCGTATGAGTTAAGATGCCATGGATACTCGACTTTGGTTTTATATTTAAGATGCCACTGATTTACCATATCCCATATTCTCTTAACATGTTTTCCCCCTTTACTTTCATATGCTCTTACGGTGCTTTTACTAACCCTGATAGCTCTATATGTTGAAAAGATTCCACCGATTGGTTCGCATATTTGTAAATGTGTAAAGATGCTATTGATCTACCCCTGTAGGTATATGTTATGTGTTACGGGGGCAAAGATCTGCTCGTATAGTGTTACCTTACGTAAAGGTAGCAAACATCTACTCCTATAGAGTATAGTGTTACACCAAGTTAAAGTGCTAAATATCCCCCTATAGTGTTACACCAAGTTTAAGTGCTAAATATCCCCCTATAGTGTTACATCAGGTTAAAGTGCTAAATATCCTCCTATAGTGTTACACCAAGTTTAAGTGATAAATATCCCCCTATAGTGTTACACCAAGTTAAAGTGCTAAATATCCTCCTATAGTGTTACACCAAGTTAAAGTGCTAAATATCCTCCTATAGTGTTACACCAAGTTTAAGTGATAAATATCCCCCTATAGTGTTACACCAAGTTAAAGTGCTAAATATCCTCCTATAGTGTTACACCAAGTTAAAGTGCTAAATATCCCCCTATAGTGTTTCACCAAGTTAAAGTGCTAAATATCCTCCTATAGTGTTACACCAAGTTTAAGTGCTAAATATCCCCCTATAGTGTTACACCAAGTTAAAGTGCTAAATATCCTCCTATAGTGTTACACCAAGTTAAAGTGCTAAATATCCTCCTATAGTGTTACACCAAGTTAAAGTGATAAATATCCCCCTATAGTGTTACACCAAGTTAAAGTGATAAATATCCCCCTATAGTGTTACACCAAGTTAAAGTGCTAAATATCCCCCTATAGTGTTACACCAAGTTAAAGTGCTAAATATCCCCCTATAGTGTTACACCAAGTTAAAGTGCTAAATATTCCCCTAAAGTGTTACACCAGTTAAAGTGCTAAATATCCCCCTAAAGTGTTACACCAAGTTAAAGTGCTAAATATCCCCCTAAAGTGTTACACCAAGTTAAAGTGCTAAATATCCCCCTATAGTGTTACATCAGGTTAAAGTGCTAAATATCCCCCTATAGTGTTACATCAAGTAAAAGTGCTAAATATTCCCCTAAAGTGTTACACCAAGTTAAAGTGCTAAATATCCCCCTAAAGTGTTACATCAGGTTAAAGTGCTAAATATCCCCCTATAGTGTTACATCAAGTTAAAGTGCTAAATATCCCCCTATAGTGTTACACCAAGTTAAAGTGCTAAATATCCCCCTAAAGTGTTACACCAAGTTAAAGTGCTAAATATCCCCCTATAGTGTTACATCAAGTTAAAGTGCTAAATATCCCCCTAAAGTGTTACATCAGGTTAAAGTGCTAAATATCCCCCTATAGTGTTACATCAGGTTAAAGTGCTAAATATCCCCCTATAGTGTTACACCAAGTTAAAGTGCTGAATATCCCACTATAGTGTTACATCAAGTTAAAGTGCTAAATATCCCATTATAGTGTTACACCAAGTTAAAGTGCTAAATATTCCCCTATAGTGTTACACCATGTTAAAGTGCTAAATATCTCCCTTTAGTGTAAAACCAAGTTAAAGTATTAAATATCCCCCTATAGTGTTACATCAAGTTAAAGTGTTAAATATCCCCTCATAGTGTTACATCAAGTTAAAGTGTTAAATATTCCCCTCATAGTGTTACATCAAGTTAAAGTGTTTAACATCCCCCTATAGTTTTACACCAAGTTGAAGTGTTAAATATCCCCCTATAGTGTTACATCAAGTTGAAGTGTTAAATATCCCCCTATAGTGTTACATCACGTTAAAACCCCAAAGATCCCTTGAAGATGCCAGTGTGGTATGCCCAGAGTGCCATGTGATGACCAGACGTTGTCGATCAGCCTGTGTGCTTGTTTCTGTTTACCTGACAGGGTAAACACCCCCCGCAAGATGGGCGGCCTGGGTCCCATGAACGTTCCACTGATTGGCGACAAGACGCTAGAAATCTCCCGGAAATACGGCTGCTTAAAGGAGGATGAGGGAGTGGCATTTAGGTATGTTAATGTTTCGCTTATTTGCCCATTGTCATGTTAAACGTAGCAGGACAACGAATAGACCAAGGATACACAAACAGTGTCATGTGGTAAGAAGAGAAATGTCAGGTGACGTCAAAGTGAATTGGAAGATTAGCAGCAGAAGAGACAGTGGCAGCCCAGGAGAAACTATGAGTATGTTGTTGAATACCACTGGGTGTTAATTGAGTTGAGTAAAGTCAAGAATTGACATCACAGTACTCGGGGCATTCCCATACGCGCTCTGTACCCATCCTCAGCAGCCATCGCAAAGTTCTAATACTTTGTGTGGTTGTGTGTTCGTCTTGCCTTTCCTCTGAGCGTAATGTGCCGGTGAAACCCTCTGGTCCAACCCAGGTGCATCATTCTCTCCAGCCCATGATAATCTAGTTTCTCTTCTGACTTCGTTTCTTGTTCCCAAACGGCTCTGACCACATATGCCTTGTCATGTATCAGTTCACCACCCAGCGTTGTAGATCTAGCCAGTCTGTCTTACTGTTCATTCCCCACCACGCCGGCATAGCCTGGGGAAAAGATTCAGTTTATTTGATACTTGGGTGTTAATTGTCCGAAAAGGGAAAATATCGAAAACAAAACTGCCGCGGTTGATTTGCGATGTGCTGTTAAAAGATCTATAGCTAACTTTAACAGTCTCATAGACTTATACGGGGTACCAAGTAATGTCCCGGGAAGAAAAGGCAGCCGGCGCGATGTTAACCACAACACTTATGAGTGCTAACTGATGAATAAAAATATGAATATAGCGATATTTCAACGATTGGCCGCTGGAATAAAAAAAAAAAAAGGCCCTCTGCTGCTACTTAAGGCTCTCCGACGGCTGTTGTGACGTTAGTTAGTTAGCTAGCTAGCTAGTTAGTGAGTCGAGGTTTCAACATCACCGCAATCGGGTTTCCCCAAACTCCGTTGCTGTGCTAGTGCGATTCAAATGAAATGTCCCTCTCTGTCGCATTTGAAAAACTGGTGAAACAACTAGTTCCGGAACAATCCAGAAATATGTGCACGCAGTAAATGTGAATTACGGTTGGATAAAATGTAACCTGAAAAGTACCCTGAGTCAATCCGGAAGACCGGCCTGCCACCTGACATAGTTCTCCACTCTGCGGAGAAACGACAGCTCATCCTGATTGAGCTGACCGTCCCGTATGAGTCGCGAATGGACGAAAGCCATATGTACAAGCTCGAGAAGTACTGTGACTTAGCAGCCGGTCTGAGGAGGGACGAAGCGTACACAGTAAGAGTCTTTGCCGTCGAAGTAGGCTCAAGAGGTCTCGTTTCCGCTTCACTCTACAATGTGATTAAAGAACTAGGCTTACGTGGTAATGAACGCAAACGGACACTTAAACAACTGGGCGAGGTTGCTGAGAGGGCCTCGAGCTGGCTCTGGACACAACGAAACAACGTAGGGGACGGGCCTCGGTGAGCTGGTCCGGGTGTCTAGCGGAAAAGCATTTCTCATCCCTTAAAAGTCTATCGTGTCCGAATTGTCTGCCAGTGTCCCTCTGCCACCTGCTAACAGAGTCCAACATGTATCCGGTAAACCAATCGTAAGCATGCCGCTCGGTCGTCCAGGTATGCGGACTGCTTTAATTATGACACCGTGACGACTTCTTATCTCACAGTACCTTCTGCAAAAGCTCCAATTCGTATTGTCCCTATCCGAATAACATCCGGCAATTCGTGCAGCAGGGGAAACCAACTCTGAGCTTCATGAACTCAGGTGGGCCCACTCTCTGAAAATGTCTAGGAGCTCGTGAGCCGAAACATTTGTCGACGAGAGGTTACTTCTACTGACGATTGGTAGACCCCTGCTGTACATGCTCCCCTGTGGAGTTTCTTCTTATTATAACCTTCTGTCTTTTAACAGGGCGTTGTACATCATCGATGACAAGGGCAACCTGCGTCAGATCACAATGAATGATCTGCCGGTCGGCAGGTCAGTGGAGGAGACTCTTCGTCTGGTACAGGCCTTCCAGTTTACGGACAAACACGGGGAAGGTTGGTCACCACTTGTCTGTCTCTCTTTGTGTCTGTCTTTCTGTGTCTGTCCCATACATTTTTCAATATTTATACATTCTCGTGTGTTGTAGAAATTGGACATTCTTTATAGATGTTGTCTAACGATTATTTTTTTTTAAATATTATTATTCTTTGAAGGAAGGTTCTGGATGTTCGTCCGCTCCTGGACGTTGGTCTTCATGTAGAACTTGACTTGAGTTTTGCGTGTTCATCCGTTTCACAGATGTTACTTATTTGGATGCAGACTGTTGGTTCCTTGTCTCTCAAGCAGGCAGACCCCTAACTTTGAAGAAAAAACACCCCTAATTATTCTTCTCATACAACATGCTTCTTACGAGGCACTGGCAGTGCTCCAAAATAGAGCCCTAGAACTTTGGGAGGTGGGGGGGGGGTTTACATTTATGATATAATTGTTTATGGAAATGATAAATACTAGGGCAATAAATGCATACTGCCATTACTGTAAAGGGCTAGATGCTCGACTGCTGACCCGAAGGTCTTGGGGTCGAATCCGTATCGAGGATTGCTAAGCCGTGACCTTCACAGCAGTCTTATCGAGCCCAAACATCTGAAAAGGAAGGAGATGGGGGCGCATGGAGTAGACTTCAAGTGAGGACTTTGGAGTTGATTACAGACAAGATGCTGTAAACCTCCCGTCAACGACGCCAGGCAAATCCCAAACTTATATTCAGGAAGTGCATCTACCCAGCACTTGAAGATAACTGTTGGAATACTGAATGTGGACTCAGTGTATGAACGTGTTCATATATATAAAAATATCTTCCTCTGTTATCGTCCTGGAAAGAAATATTTTATGGTCGAGCTTGCACTAAATTTATATGATATATATAAATTTATGTGAGAGTTCTTGTTCAGTGATCGTCAGGGCGGTTCGTTTGAGGTCAGTATTTAATGGATGTACGCGTGTGGCGTCTTTTAAACAGTTGTATACTTACCTAGTACACTTCGATATGGGCGCCATTTGTGGGTCTTGTGATGTTTAGATGCTATTCAGATTCCTCTCACTTGTCCTGTTGCAATTGCTGCAGGGACCATTAAGTGCCTAGTCGTTCATCGTCTTCTTAGCGTCGTTCTAAGTCTTACCTCACGACCCCACAAGGTAATTCCCGTCCCAATATAGGAGGCAATCTATGTTTTTTTTTTAAAAAACAGGTTTCAAACAAGTTTGCGGGTTTCATCTACACCATTTATCCACCTCTTTCGTGGTCTTTCTCTCGCCGTCCTCCAGATGTTCTACTGTGAGGAAGGCGAGAGGAAGACCAAGAAAGTTGTGGATAAATGGTGTAGATCGTTGACCATTTATATCCTGATTGTTTGATAGCTGACCGTCTACTCTATCTGTTATCCCTCCAGTGTGTCCCGCTGGCTGGAAGCCTGGAAAAGACACCATGAAGCCTGACCCCAACGCTAGCAAGGAGTACTTCGGCAAAGCCCATTAAATGCCACTGACCTTCGACCTTATGAACTTCAGCATAATTTCTAGTTCAGGACGGTATTGTTATTTATTTTGTTGAACTTTGATTGTCAGACTTTTCACTAAAACTCGATTTATATTCGCAAAGGTATCGTGTGCAGGACTTTTATATTTAATGTTGCCCGGCTCGCTAGCGCAGTTAGCTAAACCGGACTGCGTGGCGATCGGGTGGCGAACTCCTTGTAGTCCGGGTTCACGCCCGGGAGTAGGCAGAAGAGCCAAATTTCTCCCATATTTACGGTATCTATCATGGAATCAAGACCGAAGTGTTGCGATATCCATAGTACCGATCTAAAGGGTTAACTCGTGGTTTCTGGATATATATATATATATATATATATATATATATATATATATATATATATATATATATATATATATATGGAGACAGATATATATATATAGATAAATATTCTATTACAGGCTGTAGAATTAGCTTGAGTTTACAATGAGAATATGGACCTCTAGAGGAGGTGACGAGAGAAACATTCTATTCACCACCTGCTGATTGATGATGATGATGATAAATGTTATAGAATGATAACTTGAGTTTACAATGAGAATATTGAGCATCTATAAGAGACGTATAGCAGTTGCACAGATTTTTCCTTGAATTTTTATAAGGTCATTCACTATAATATTTATTTGTTCACCTGTTTCCTTCTTTCTTTTCTTGCTAATTTATTTCCTGTCTGCGTTAATTGTTATTTTGTACACGTTTTAGTAACAGCGTTCGTTACATGCAGCTGACTACATGTTTCCACGTATAGAAATAAAGTGTTCTGTTGATGGCACAGTGACTACATGTTTGAGTTATTTAGACAATAAAGTGTTTCCTGGCAAGTAGCAACTTAGACAATAAAGTCATTAGACTGCTACAACGTTCATTAAAGTGTTCTGAGTGGTACTACTGACTACATGTTCCCTGACTGTGTGAGTTATTTTAGACAGATTAAAGTGTTCTGAGTGGCACAGCTGACTACATGTTTCCTGACTGTGAGTTATTTTAGACAGATTAAAGTGTTTTGAGTGGCACAGCTGACTACATGTTTCCTGACTGTGTGAGTTATTTTAGACAGATTAAAGTGTTCTGAGTGGCACAACTGACTACATGTTTCCTGACTGTGTGAGTTATTTTAGACAGATTGGCCGGGTCTGTAATGGTTTGTGGAGGAAGAAGTACGGACAGGGCACTCATACTAAATGTGCTGTTGGAAGTAGGGATTTAACGAGGACAAGCGTGCAGACACTGGTTGTGGGGTAAAGAAAGAATCAACTGAGCATGGAGATGCTGAGGTGGCTGCTGCATGGATCGGACTGATGTGTTAGGATGTTGATACGGACAAGTAACAAGTTAGGTGCTTTCATAATATCCAACTCCAAACAGTGAAAATCCACAGGTCACAAGACAGTCTAATATTTCAGGGGGTGGTAGATAGGCTGCATGCAGCCGTGGGACCTAGGCTGCACTCTCTCATCGGACCTAGGTGGGTTGGGGTTAGGGTCAGTTCTAGATGTTCTGGGGTCGTTAAAAGCATCAGAAAGCCTGGAAACCCAGTCTTACTATCCTTTAAAATGTTGGACTGTCCTGTGACGCTATTTGGGGGTAGGATATTACGAAAGAACCAACAACTCTCACACAGTTTTAGAGAAGGACCTCAACCATAAGTGATAAGGTTTTTGGGTATATAGTAAGAGCCCCATAGTTTTAGAAGACAGACTGGCCAGTTCTGCACCACTTGGTGGTGAACTAATGTATGACAAGCTGGATGTTGTGAGGGCCCTTTGGGAGTAAGTGAACAGTGTTGAGGCACAGATAGATCATTACGGTCTCCCCCCGTGTGGGTTCAAGGGCCCTATTGTGGGGAAAACAAGAATAGACCCACTGCCTCCCCAAAAGTATGTCGTAAGAGTCGACTAATTGAGGAGCTTCCTTTGAAGTCAGAGTGCATCTGCCAGAGAGGCAAGGGAAACAACAGTCTGTATTCAAGAGAATGAGATCTGTAAAACTGATGCACACGCAACACTCATGTTGTGGAGCAGGACTGCAGTTCAGTAGTGGACGAGCAACCAGAACTTTCCACCAGAGTGTACAGCTGGTGAACAAGAAGAAGAAGATTACGGTCTGAGGAGAATGACACTGCAAGGAGTTACAAGGGGATCTGGCCGGCGCTGGACATTCAGGGGAAAGGCGAGACGGATATACGGATATACAGTTACTGGTACCATCGGAATTTTAACTCTTCGCTTGCTGCTGAGGATGGGGATGGAGTGCTTATGGGGGTGTCCCAAGTGCTGTGATGTCAATTCTTAATTCAACATTCAACAGTAATGTGATCAGTATAATTGGTGTGAGAGTGGGTAAGAGATATCAGGGGATCTGGACAACACTCCACTTGCAGGGGAAAAGATAGGTAGTTTTAATCAAAGAATTATCAGCACAAGCATTCTTCTACAGCTACTTCTTCTTCATGTTCACCAACTGTAATCTCTGGCATAAAGTTCTGGATGCTCATCCATTTGCTCTAGAACTGATTTTTGTGTGCACATCCGTTTTACAGTTCTGGCTTATTAGTATGCAGACTGCTGGTTCCTCACCTCTCACAGGCAGATGCAGTCCAACTTTGAAGGAAACATCCCTAATTACTTGCCTATTCCTCTACCCACCCACCCCAATGAGGCCCCCAAATCCATAGGATGTTTATTGGCTACTGAAAAAGATTGTGTCAGTTACTATTGCAACTAGGGGGTGGGAGGAAGGAAGGAGAGAGAGAGAGAGAGAGAGAGAGAGAGAGAGAGAGAGAGAGAGAGAGAGAGAGAGAGAGCCAGCCAGACAGACAGCCAGACAGAGACAGACAGAGAGAGACAGACAGAGACAGACAGACAGAGACAGACAGAGAGAGAGAGAGACAGACAGACAGAGAGAGACAGACACAGACAGCCAGCCAGCCAGCCACACACACACACACACACACACAAAGAGTTTGTTGCAACCAACAGTATTAGTTTCTTTAAAAATTACCAGTACTGGAGTTTTTCAAATAAAATAGAATTTTATTTTGGCTAAATCTTAATAAAAATGAAATGACATTAAAAAAAAAAAATGACTGTACGATAAAGACATGTGAATACCAAATGTCTAGAGAACACAGTCAGCTGACTGTAGAATACTAAAAAAAATGACAGTAGATAATGTCTGATATGTTTTCTAGTTCTTGACTGATACAAAATAAATCATTTGTCCCCAGATACTCTAAACCAGCGGTTCTCAACCTGTGCTTTAGGGAAGCCCTACTGGCTCTGTCACCACTCCGGGCAAATACATAAAAACTGAATGATCTATAAGATCAATAAATGAAGAAAATATTTTAAGATTATTCAATTAAATTAAGAACTAGAAATTACATTAAGAACAGAAATTTGTCACTCTTTTAGCAGATGACATCTGGTATACCCCCTCTCTTCTGCTTTGTAACAGAACTTCTAAATGCCATTAACTTGTAAGGCATAGGGTACTGTAGCCCGTAGAGGCTGTGCCATAAAAATTGATGTTTTTTGGCATAGGGTACTGTAGCCCGTGGGGGTGTGCCATAGAAATTGATGTTTTTTGGCATAGGGTACTGTAGCTCGTAGGGGCTGTGCCATAGAAATTGATGTTTTTTGGCATAGGGTACTGTAGCCCGTAGGGGCTGTGCCATAGAAATTGATGTTTTTTGGCATAGGGTACTGTAGCCCGTAGGGGCTGTGCCATAGAAATTGATGTTTTTTAGCATAGGGTACTGTAGCCCGTAGGGGCTGTGCCATAGAAATTGATGTTTTTTGGCATAGGGTACTGTAGCCAGTAGGGTCTGTGCCATAGAAATTGGTGTTTTTTAGAGTCCACAAGTCAATAAGGTTGAGAACCGCTGCTCTACAAACAAGACATTAACATTTACCAGGGACAGCAAGCAGGCCCTCTAACAGGCACATAATTGTATAATCAATCAATCTAGCACATAATTGTTTAATCAATCAATCTAGCACATAATTGTATAATCAATCATCTAGCAAATAATTGTATAATCAATCAATCTAGCACATAATTGTATAATAAATCAATCAACTGATAAAGGCCACATTTGAAACATCAAAACTGGAGTAATGAAGAGATGGCAAACTGAAAAGAAAAACAAATTCTAAGCAGCACATAAAATGTATGAAAGTGTATATAAGCATTGTTGAAGTTTCCTTCGCAGGATCTGACCTGGAAAGAGAACTGTTTACTAAACACATAGTTTGATGGGAAATCAAAAATGAAGATTTTCACCAGCGTGCCTCACACCTGGCATGTTAAGATTATACCTGCAGAAACCTCAAAGTTTTCGTGACTTGTTATCTGGCTTGTCACAACAGAGGTTGAACAGAGCATATCCAGTGCCCACAGAATGTTTGGAACATGTCTGCGCAGTATTCAGCTTGAACAGTTTCAGATGTATCAGTGTCAGACTTGGGCAACAACCGTGCAGTTAGCAAAAGTGGAAAGCTAATATTTATTCTTTAATGGTAACATGCCGGCGTGATGCTGACCACATCACCCATCCTGTGCCAACTTGTCTATAAAAATATAGGTCATGCCCTATACACCTTTACATTTTTTTTTTTAATGGTAACATAATTTGTTAACAACAGATCAATCAGCTAAAGATTGCTGTTAAGTCACTTGCTCGTGTCCTTTTACTGTCTTCCACTAACATCAACTCTCTTTTGCTGTGTATATTTCTGTGTCTCAATGTCCTTTCTGGCCTGTGTGATGTTTGTTTTTAAACCTAGGGCAGTCTGCATTTTGTTTCTTAATTACCCTCATTTATTTTACATACCAGACCTCTATGTCTCAAATTACCAAGCCAAGAACAATAGCCATTTCTTTTTATGATACAATTATGATGTTCTCTTGTACTCCAGCTTCGTGCACCGCAATAAAACACC